CTTCCATTCCACCCACATTGGAGCTCGGGCCATCTGCAGAGAGGGAAGAACCCCTCCATTGCAGGTCCAAACTGAGGATGTTTGGATAGAAAGGTAGGAACATTCAACAGGTCAACTCAGCCTCTAGGGGGTCAATGACAATGAAAACACCTGTCTGTCCACAGCCACAGAGGACCCGCCCCAGCAGGGACTGCAAGGGATGCAGGGTTCTAAGAGCCAGGCTTTGATGGAATTTTAAAAGCACAAAATTTTCCTTTTTATGGTCAAGGGTTTGCTGATTCTGCTGATTCTCCTACTCCAATTTGAAATCCAGAGGTATTGTTAATTATCACTAGAATCTAAGTGCTGCTGTCCAGAACCAGGTCCAGGAGCTCATCCACATCTTCACCCTTCCTCTCTTAGGAAGCCAGCTTCTCCCCTGGGTGCCCCTGCACACCCACACCTTGTAAATCTCAGTGGATTTCACTTAAAAAGCAAAAACAACTGTCTCAAAGTGATCAAAGACTGTGGTCAAGGGCCAAGGTGTTTCTCCATCGCAGGTGAAAAATGAACGTGAGAAATGGTTTTATAATGCTGAGAAAACTTGTAAGACTTAAGCAGGAAGAATCTTCAGATCTCTCATCCCCCAGAGATCTTTGCAAATGAGCCAATCCAGCCGCAAAAATGTACGCAAACTTGAAAATGAAATGCAACTAAAAGATGGTTTAAAAAGAGGCAGGCTTTGGGGGGGGGGAAGAGATTTTTAATAAAAACAAAAATTATGACTCAGTATTTCCATCACACGAACACCTCAGAGACAGAATATCAAGGGACTCATGACTATTAGTAAATATAGAAAAGACAAGTGAAAATTTGATGGGCAGGCAAAAGCTCCATGGGTAGGCTGGAGTTTAAAGACAGTCCCTGGTGACCCAGTAGTGACCTGTGCCCTCTTACCTGGGGCTGGCATGGGGGGTCCTTAAGATATCCACCACCATCCTTGAAATTTTATGCAAAAATTGTGTCTCTGGGGGCTTTTCTGAAGAGTAGGTCTATAGCTCTCCCTGGATGCTTAGAAAGGTCTCTGCCCCTTAGCTGACCTTAGTCCTCTCAAGGAATGAAGACTAAGACCATGTAGGAGATGGGTTTTTGGAGTGGGAATGGTCTAGTCAAAGACAGTCGCAGTATCTGCAGATGTGACACTGCCCTTAACCAGCGGCCTCTCTCTGCCTCTTCTGGAGGGAGGAGCACATCCATGAGACTATGGCCAAGGGCCAAACCCGGAAGGCAGTACTGTGACTTGTGTGAGGTTCCACTGTCTTCTCAATGAGGACAATGGTGCAGGAGAAACATTTTCATTTTTCTTTCATCTCTATTTTTAAGAAAAATCTTAATTTTTCCATACAAATGCAAATTTTGAGCAAGACTAAAATTGCAAACTTTTTTATTCAATACATATATGTAATTTAACTACAGTTGAGGTCAGTTGCAGGAAAAACCATGAAATAGACATTCATCTGCAAAATCCACTCATTTCTCTGTCACAGGCTTCACTGGACCCCACCCCCCAAATCTACGCCTCTTCCCAGCGTCTCATTCTCACTTTCCCTTCCTCAGACAGCGGACTTCCCCTCCATCCTTCTTACTTTACAGTGATCGTAAAGTGATCATTTTCTCTTAACTAAGACCCAGCCCTCATGGCTGGAGTCAACATAAGC